ACATTAAATCAAACTAAAAATATTAATGCAGAGAATGGCAACTGCAATGAATACAAAGTTTCTCTGTAATACTTCTCTTATAAATAGGTTGACCTTGTTCTATCTAACAGGTAAGTTTCTAAGACAGTGAAGGGAATCAAATATAAATTTCTATAATTCATTTTGATGTTTCAGAAATACCTAAATTTAATCATCAAACCTGCAGGCTGTCACCTCTCCTATGTATATACTATTGTAAACAAATGCAAAAGTAACCCAAGAAGAAATCACTATGCAGATAAATCCTGCAAAGAATCTTTCTTCCTCCTCTGTTTCTTATAGAAATCCTGCTACATTCCTCAAGATCTAAATCAAAGGATATGTCCTAACAAAAAACTTCCCCATATGGGCCTCTACCAAAGTAATCAGTACTCCCATTTTCACCAGAACATGCTGCTTGTATTTCTAGTAACATATGTATTTCACCCTACCTCCTAATAAATATGTTTATATGTCTCCAACTGCAACAGCCTTTGCTTAATCTTCATTATTCATATTAAGTCCACACAATTTCTGAATCACAGACAGCACTTAATACATCTTATATACATAAGGCAAGAGAGTACCATATCATTTCTTTGTTAACAATAGTTTGATTCTTTCCAAAACTTTTTTTCATTTATGACTTTAAGGAATAGGTGTAAAAAATAAGATCCCTCTTTCTCTGTCACCAAAATCAGCCCATACTTCCCTACTTATTTCTCCCAATGGCAAAACCACTGAGACCTTATAATCTCCCATATGGGTTCCATCACCTACACTGCTCTCCATCTTACACCAATTCCTCCATAATACCTTCTGCATTTGTTGCCACTACTAACACCTCCCTTCCTTTGCTTTTATTGAGACTATTACAATAGGCAATTGATTACACAATCAATACTAACTAAAATAGATCTAATAACAGCCTCAAAATACATGAAACAACAAAAAAAATGACACACATATACACAATCAAAGTAAATAGCTGGATATTTTAGCCATTCTCTATCAGTTATTGATAGAGGTAGACAAAATCAATAGGGATACAGAAATCACCAGGGACAGAGAACATTATGAAACAGTTTGACACAACTGATAATTATAAAATATTTCACAATAAATGCAGAACATAACTTTCTTTTAAGTACACATGGAAAACTGACTAGCACATTTGGGACCATAAAACAAGTCCTGGAAGGTTTCAAAGAATCAAAATTACGGAGAGCATATTCTAAGACCACAGGGTATTAAGTTAGAAATCAGTAATAAAATATGCAGGAAACTCTTCACATAATTGGAAACTAAGTAGTATACTTCTAAAAACCCCCCATAGGTCAAAGAAGAAATCACAGGGGAAATATTTTCTAGTTTAAACTAAATGATAATGAAAACATGACATTGAAACATTTGTGGAATACATTTCAAGTATCACTAAGATGGAAATTTAGAACTTTAACGACAACATTAAGAAAAAAGGTATTAAAATAAGGCTTGTGACTTAAGAATCCAGAGAAAAAAGCAAATGATACATAAAGTAAGTAAAAGATGGGAAATTAAAAATAAAAGTAGAGGTCAACATTAAAAGACAAATAGAAAAAAATTAAATTCAAAGTTGCTTCTTTGAAAATATTAGTAAAATTAAAACCTTCAGCAAGATTTATAAAGGATAAAAGAAAATTACCAAATCAGAAATATAATAGTAAGCATCAGTACAGATCTTACAGAAATTAAAAGAACTTAAAAGGGGATAGCATAAGAAATTTTAAGCCAACAAATTTGACAACTTAGATAAAATGAGCAAATATGTTGAAAGGTACACATTAATAAAACTGACTCAAGAAGAAGAAATTCTGAATAGCCATATAGCTATTAAAGAATTTGAGTTTGAAATTTAAAGCCTTACTCAAATGAAAACTGCGGGCCCAGGAGGCTTCATTAATGAATTCTATCATGCATTTTAAAAAAATAATAATACATACTATATACAAATGTTTCTAAATGTAAAAGGAAAACACAACTTATTTTAAGAGGTCACTGTTATATTAACATTCAAATCAGATAAAGACATTACAAGAAAAGAAGCTACAGAACAATAATTTCATGAACACAGATGCAAAAAAAATCTTAACTGTTAATAAATTGAATCCAGCCATATGTAAATGGGAAAATACAATTTGACAAAGTATAGTTGATCCCAGGAATATACGGTTGGTTTAATACGTACTGGAGGTCCCATTCAGTGGAAAGGAAAGGAAAAGAGAGGAGAAGAAAGAAAGGAAAGGAAAGGAGAAAGGAAAGGAAAAGGGAAAGAAGGGAGAGGAGAAGGGATAGGAGAAAGGAAAGGACAGGAAAGGAGAAAGTACAGGACGGGGAAAGGAAGGGAAGGGAAAAGGAAAAGGAAAAGGAAAGGAACAAAAAAGAAAGGAAAAAGAAAACAACTCACCAGGAGAAGCAAAAACTGTCCTTATTTATAGGTGATGATTATGTACAAAGAAAACCCTAAGTGTTAAGAAATCAAAAACAATGATAACAAAAAACAACTGCTACAAATAATAAATGAGCTACCACAATTAAAGAACATTAAGTTAATGCACACAGACAAAAAAATCAATTGTATTTCTATATAGTAGAAAAGAATGTTGGAAATTCAAGTTTTAAAATGTCATTTAATGTAACATCATAAATCAGAAAAAATTAGGAATAAATCTGAAAAAAATGTCCAAGACCTATCTGTTGAAAAGTACAAAATATCCATGAGAAAAGTTAAAAACTTAAATATGTGTATAGACATACCATGTTCATGGATAGAAATACTCAATATCAAGAAAGTCCATTCTTAAATGTGTACATTTAACAGTCTTATTAAAAAACTAGCAAATTCCTTTAAAAAACCTGACAAGCTGATTTTAAGATGCATAAAGGAATTCAAATGCTCTATGAATACAAAACAAGCAATAAATGTTTATTAAATTTACATAATAGAAATAAAAGAATCATATTGAGAAATTATAACATTTATAACTTATTTTCTGAGGCTTTTATGTAAAAGCTGGGCATTTAAACATAATTATTTCAGGGCTGCCTGGGTGGCTCAGTGGGTTAAGCCTCTGCCTTCAGCTCAGGTCATGATCTCAGGGTCCTGGGATCGAGTCCCACATAGGGCTCTCTGCTAGGCGGGGAGCCTGCTTCCTCCTCTCTCTCTCCCCCTATCTGCCTACTTGTGATCTCTCTTTCTGTCAAATAAATAAAATCTTTAAAAAAAAACAAAACATAATTATTTCAGTGTACAAATATTTGGTTCTTTCCTTTTAGATTTGTCCACCTAAAAGTTACAGGTATTTATAATATACTACTGCATTAATCCCTAAAAAAAATAATTTACTGGGTGATAATATTGATAATATTTACCAAAAGAAAAACCAGGTTGCAATCTAGTATTTGTAAATAGTCTATTAACATGTACAGAGAGCATACAATGTTTTATCTATAAAATCTGTAATTAGATTCTATTGTACCGTCCTTAAAAAATTATATATGTATACATATACATATATGTATATTTAAGGGCATACTCTGACTTTTACTACTAGCACAGTTTACATCTTTCAATTGCACTATAGCAGCAGTTCGCAATGGATGGTTTGGGGGTCATCCAAGACCACTTATTAATACTACTAAGATATTACTTGCCTTTTTCACACTCAAGTTCTCATAAACACAGTTCAGTTTTTCCAGAGGTTACATGACATGGAATATAACAACAGAATACGGAAGCAAATACAAAATTGCAGTTGTATTCATTTAAGACAGCAATGAAAGATATTTACAAAAGTGCAAAACAAAGCCATCATCAATATTTTTGTATTGGAACTAGTTAAATGTCTTTAATTTTTATGTTAACAATATAATAGGTTTATAATTATTATTTCAAAGGAATTAATATTTTTAAATGCTCAGTTTTAATTTTTAACATGGTAGATATTAATGCATATGATATACCTTGATTAAAGCTCTTTGAGTTCTCAAAAATGTTAATGAATGCAAAGTGGTCCTGATACCCAAAAAACTCAGAATCACTGCATACAGCAGTAATTTTTAACCAGTACCTGTAGAAGGAATAATCCTGATAAATAAAATGAAAAACCAAAAAAAAAAATTTAGGGGGCTATTATATATTAATGTTTTATTTTTCTTAGTGGGACACTATATTAAGTCTCTTTCTGGTTCTTCAATTAATAAAGTTCACCAATCCAATAACAAAAAGGCCTAGGCCAACACAAGAAACACATAGGATTTCCATACATAATGCTGTTTTTCTTCTTCCCATCATGATGTATCCCTAGTAGAACCAAAAAGAAAAGCAGTTTTTCCAAACTTCTTATCAAACTTTTAAAGTACTGCCTACATATTAAACATATTAAACCCTGCCCCCTGCTCTCCCAAACTCTTCTTCCCTTACTCTATTGTTTTCACCATTGTGCTTATAACCTTCTAATACACTAACAATTTATCTATGCTTTATGTTTATTTTCTGTCACTCCACTCTATACAATGTAAGCTAAATAAGAGGATTTTTTTTGTTTTATCCATAATGTATCTTCAGCACTTTTAATAGTGCCCAAGACAAAATAGGCACAGAGTAAATATTTATTGAATAAATTAATGAATATTCTCCTGAAGTAAAATATAAACTTCAGCATTTTATCAGGGAAGAACAAATGTCTGACCACATTAATACTTGGAAATGGCAACAAAGTGCTATCTATACAGGAGAGATGCACTAACTGAAGGAAAAATTCTCAGGGTGAACAATCTTCTCTTCTGGAGACAGAAATGAAGAAAGATAGGGAGACAAAAGACAGGAAAGGAAAGGGATTCGGAAATAATCCAAAGTAGAGACAAGGGAAATGGGCTTTTCTTTCAAATCCTAGGATTCCACAAACACAAAGAAAAAATAAGAGTATGAACAACTAACACACCTCTTTTCTCCTGGTGTATTTCTTCCAGAAGCTGCTCTTGTCTTTCTATCTGTTCAAAGAGACACTGGAGCTCAGATTCCTTGTTTTCCGTCATATTCCTCAGCTGTTGTCTGCACAGTATCAGCTGGTGCCGCAGATTTTTTTCTCGGTTTTCTCTCTCTTTTAGTTCCTCACAGAGCCACTGAAGTTTTGTCTAAAAAAAATGATATTTATATATCTCATTTTTTAAAAATCTAGAAACAGTAACATTTCAACAGTAACAGTAACAGGAGGGAAAAGTCATGATAATCCAAACAAATATAAGCAATAATAAATTTAAGCAAAACAAAAAGGTACCCATAATATTTTAATTTGATAATAATTTATATTAGTTAAAAGTTGGTATAGCAACTAAGCCATGATTATCTTGGATTTTTATAAAATATTTTATATTCCCTATCATCTTTGGAAAGGCAATACCATGGAAAAATTTGGCCTACTGAACTTGCACTCATAATACAATTAGCTCCCTAAAGGAATATATAAGGCAGTCTAGTACATTTTTAAGCATTTTTAAAGTAAAAAGTACCTCAGAATAGAATGCTACAGACTCGTCACAAAAGGGAGCTTGAATTTAGAGATTTTTCTTCTTCAAAAAAAAGACATCAAAAAGAATGAAATCTTGCCATTTGCAATGACGTGGATGGAACTAAAGGGTATTACGCTAAGCAAAGTCAGTCAGTCAGAGAAAGACAAATACCATATGATTTCACCCATATGTGGAATTTAGGAACAAAACATACGAACATAAGGAAAGGGAAGGAAAAATCAAATAAGATAACGAAAGAGGGAGTTAAACCATAAGTGATGCTGAACTCCAGGAAACAAACAGGGTCGCTGGAGGGGAGATGGGTGGAAGGAGGATGGGGTAACTGGGTGATGTTAACTACATTGAATTTAGATAAATAATTTTGAAATAAATAATAATAATAATACTTTTAAAAAAAATCTTTTTTAAGATTGCTAGGTTTGATTTCTAAAAATTGCATAACCCCAGGGGTCCAGCTAATAATGTAGAGATATTCTATACGGTATGAAGGACATAAAGTCAGTTTATGCCCACATTTAGACGACTAGGAAATTTAACTGAAGCAACTCTTTTTCATAGACTCTAACCTCACCATCTTTATTATTTAAATACTTAAGTCAGGGATGAGGAAAAAAAAATTTTTCACCTTCACTAGAACAGGATTTCAGTCAGCTCTTAGGATCTTCACAAGTGAGGGTGCCCTTCAAAGTCTAGTTGATTTTAAATAATCTATAACAGTCTTTATTTCAGTAAGAAGCAAAATAAAGGAAGCAATGGGTCAAACAGAAAAATTAGGTTAAGCTAAAGGGTAACTTCCCTGAACAGCATTCATCAGTAAGCAAGAAAGTTCTAGGCCTCCAGAAATCTAGGAGGTTCTCGGGATATGCCACAGTATAAAACAGTCTGTGATTATTAGGCAAACAATGAATAGAATGTGAATGTGTTAAGTGAAGGGAAATCATGCTTGTAAAAGCAAAACCTAGATCACATTTATTATAAATCCTCATCAAAAACAAAGAAAGCACTGCATAGAAGTTCCTCTTCCAGAATGAGGGCAAGAGGAGTTCTGCAAAGCTGCTCTTAAATGAAAATGCTAGGTAGAAGCTAGATAAATATGAGCAGTGGAAGGAACACACCCTGTGTGACAAAAGCTCCACTCCACATTTCATAAAGTTATTGCCAAGAAGACGGTTCCCTCTTTCCCCAGTTCACAGTCAAGTTATATGGTATTGTGGCATAATAAGAAAGATACTTGGTCCTTGTCCCTTATTCTTGGCACAGAGCTCCTAAAGTCCCTGGAACTTCCAGAGTAAGAATGTCCTTTGTTATTCATAACAAGCCTGTGGAATCCAATCAGAGTGTTTAGGGTGGGGTCACTGGACAGCCTCAGGATGGGACTGGTGATTAGGGATTTGGAATTTTCACCCTACCCTTCAACCTCTAGGAAGTGGGAATACAGGAGGCCACTGGATATTAAGTTCTATAAAAACTCTTGAACAATGAGATTTAATTAGCTCCCACATCAGTGAACAAATCACTGGAGTGCCAGGAGTGTGAAATACCCTCAGATTCTATGCAGACTCTTTGAGACTTTACCTTATATAACCTCTTCATCTGGCTGGTTATTTCTATTCTTCATAAATAAACTGGTAATAGTAAGCAAAGTATTTCCCTTAGATCAGTGAGCCATTACAGCAAATTAAACCTGAGGAGAGAGCAATGGGAATCCCTAATTTGTAGCCAAGTCAGATGGAAGTGTAGGTCACCTAGGGATCCATTATTTATGATTGGCATCTGAATTGGGTGCAGATGGGACTGAGCCCTTCATCTCTAGTATTTGCTAACTCTGGATAGTTCGTGTCAGAGCTGAACTAAATTGTAGGACACCCAGTTGGTGTTTGCAGAGAACTGGAGGAATCATCTCATGTGGAAAACAAAAAGTTGGAGTAAGAAATGCGGTGAGTAGAAACAGAATGTAATAGTAGGTATTGCATTGGAAGGGCAGACCACTAAGATTTTTCATTTTCATAGTTCTAATCTGCGTAGGCTAAAGTCCTGGCAAGTCAGTGGAGATACTAGGGATTCCCTCCTCCACCGTGCCCTCGCTGAAAGGGTGGCCACTCTACCACAAACACAGAAGCGTGAGAACACTGGGGTCCAAAATGCCATTTACAATTACAGCAAAAGCCATGTGATCATATCAAAAGGTTCAGAGAAAGTATATGATGAAATTCAACGCCTATTCACAATAAAATCATTCAACAAACTAGGAACAGAGGGAACTTTCTCAACCTGAAAAACCTATCTATGAACAACTCCTATTATTACATGTAATAGTTAAAGACTGAATGCTTTCTCCCTAAGATCATGAACAAGAAAAGAATGCTCTCTCCACTTCTAACATTTTATTAGGATATCTAGGAAAGGAAATTATACAGGAAAATATCAATATACATAAATTATTTGTATTTCTACACACTTGAATGATCAACCCAAAAATAAAGTTAAAAAGACAATGTTTATAACATCAAAAGAATACTTAACATACTTTTTAAAAGAAGTATAAAACTTACACTCCAAAAACTACAAAACACTGTTGAAAAAAATTAAAGAAGACCTAAATAAATGAGAAGATACTCCACGAGCACATATATCAGAAGACAATAGATTTAAGATAGAGACAGTCCCCAAACTGATCTATAGATTCAAAGAAACTCATATCAAAATCCCCACTGGCATCTTGGGAGAAATTGATAAGGTGATCTTAAATTTCATATGGAAATTTAAAGGGACCCAGAAAAAACAAAAACAGGTGTTGAAAAAGAACAAAGGTGGTGGAGTCACACTTAGCTGATTTCAAAGCTCATTAGAAAGCTGTAATAATCAAGACAGTGTGGTATGGGCATTAGGATAGGCATAGATCAATGGAGTTAAATTGAGAGTCAGAAATAAACCCATACATACATGGTCAATAGATTTTCAACAAGGCTTCCAAAAAACTTTGATGAGGAAAGATTAGTCTTTTCAACCAACAGTTCTGGGACAACTGAATATCCGTATACAAAAGCATAGAACTGAACCCATACTTTATACCATAGAAGAAAATTAACTCAAAATGGATCAAAGACCTAAATGTAAGAACTAAAAATAGCAAATTCCTAAAAGAAAGCAAAGGCATAAGTCTTAGTAACCTTGGTTTCACAATGACTTCTTAGATATGACACCAAAAACACAACCAACCAAGAAAAAAAACTGACAGACTGGACTTCACCAAAATTAAAAACATGTGCTTCAGAGATTACAATCAACACAGTGAAAAGACAACCCACTGAACAGGAGAAAATATTTACAGGTCATATACCTGACAAAGAACTATTTAAGATACACAAAGAACTCAGTAATAAAAAGACAAACAATGAACTGAGCAAGGGACATATCTTCAAAGATACACAAATAGCCAATAATCACATGAAATGATACTCAATACCATTAACCATCACAGAAATGCAAATCAAAACCACAATGAGATTCCATTTCACACTCAGGAGGATAACTAGAATCAAAAAGACAGATGATAACAATTGTTGGTTTGTGGGGAGGAGTCCGAATTCTTGTATAATGGTAGTAGGAGTGTACCATGGTGCAGCCACATTGGAAAACAGTCTGGCCATTCTTCAAAAGGTTAATATTGGGGTGCCTGGGTGGCTCAGTGGGTTAAAGCCTATGCCTTTGGGCTCCGGTCACTATCTCAGGGTCCAGGGATCGAGCCCGGCTTCAGGCTCTCTGCTCAGCGGGAAGCCTGCTTCCTCCTCTCTCTCTGCCTGCGTCTCTGCCTACTTGTGATCTCTGTCAAATAAATAAATAAATTTTTTTTTAAAAAAGGGTTAATATTAGTTCCCAAATAACCCAGCACTACTACTCTTTTTTTTTTTTTTTTTTAACATATACTGTATTATTTGCTCTAGGGGTACTGGTCTGTGAATCATCAGCCTTACACATCTCACAACACTCACCAAAGCACATACCCTCCCCAATGTTCATAAACCAGCCACCCTATCCCTCTCCCGTCCACCTGCCAACAACACTCAGTTTGTTTCATGAGATTAAGAGTCTCTTATGGTTTGTCTCCATCCTGATCCCATCTTGTTTCATTTTTTCCCTCCCTACCCCCTCATAACCCTTCCACCCTGGCTCTCAAATTCCTCATATCACAGAGAACATGATAATGGTCTTTCTCTGACTGACTTATTTTGTGTAGCATAATACCATCTAGTTTCATCCATGTCCTTGCAAAGGGCAAGATTTCATGTTTTTGATGGCTGCACAGTATTCCATTGTGTGTGTATGTACACACACACACACACAAACACACACATATATATATACAAACCACATCTTCTTTATCCATTTATCTGTTGATGGACATCGAGGCTCTTTCCATAGTTTGGCTACTGTGGACATTGCTGCTATAAACATTCGGGTGCACGTGCCTCTTCGGATCACCACATTTGTATCATTAGGATAAATACCCAGTAGTGTGATTGCTGGGTTGTAGGGTAGCTCTATTTTCAACTTTTTGAGGAACCTCCATGCTGTTTTCCAGAGTGGCTGCACTAGCTTGCATT